ATTTAAAAACCAGTCTTTTGAATGAGGTAGTTCAAGCCTGCTAGATTAAATCTACATAACTGTTTCCTGTCGTTGGATAAACACACACACACACACACACACACACACACACACACACACACACACACACACACACACGGTGTTCTCACTTACTCTGCTGGGAGGCCTGGAAAGTCTTAAATCTATCTAGAAATTTCTAGAGCCTTCCTTACCTTGTTCCAAAGTTGGCTGAAGTAATATTGGGTTTGGGTTTAAGAATTAAGAGTATCTCACGGCCTGGGATCAGTGTAGAATGGTGTGTGTTGGGCCTCCAGTCTTTGTAAGTTTCCTCTGCTTACAGATGGCTTCATCCATCCCATGCCATCTGTTAACCTGAGCGATTAGCTCCAAGCTATTGGAATGGTTTAGAGAGAAATCAAACATCTTTAAAAATATTTTTAAAAACATCCTCTCAGTCTGTCTCATCCTAAATTATTGACAGGAAGAGTATTCAAAAAACAAAGAAAAAATATTAAATCTGAGTATTCTTGGATATTCATGCTCTTGACCCGTGTTTGGAAATGCCTGTTTCTTGGAAGCCTCCAGGGAGAGAACTCATGGTTTTCCTGCCTTAGAACCAGCAAACCCTTCATCCCAAAGTAATGGGATTCTCAATTTCTTCTTTTGATTCCATCAATTTTCTCCAATTACTGCCTCTTGGACTGCCTGTAACAAATCACCACACATCGCTCTGCCCTGGGATACAGCTCCTTCTCACTCACCCTCAAACAGACACACGCAGTCACGGGTGGACACAGTTGCAAGTACACACACACAGTCACATGTATACACAATTGCAGGCCCACACAATCTCAGGTACACGCAGCCACAGACACACACAGCCACAGGTATGCATAGTCAGTCACAGGTGCACACAGTTACACGCACAATCCCAACACAGTTGCAAGCACACACACACCACAGTTGCACCAATAGTGACAGGCACACTCCCAAGTCATCTTGATCACTGGGCGTCAGCCCAGGTCTCTCCAGCACCCACTCTGTCAAGGCCACTCGGCATGGTCATTTATAAATGGCAGACCACCAAAGCCCCAGCCTGGCTTCCTTTGAGGTTAGAGCGTTTGTCTTCCACACCATTCACTGCCCAGCGCCCTTCCCCTCTCTAGCACGCTCACACTGAGGAGCGAGCCGTGGTAATGAAACCCTTCGGCCCTTTGGTTTCCAAGCGGTGTTTATTTTGACATGCTTTCCCATCCCCTAACTCAGTGTCCATCACGCTCTGTCAAGCCCAGCTTGCCGGGCAGCTCTGCCACCCTTCTCTAAGGTCCTCTCTGACACTTCAATAAAGACACGCAGTGACTAATTCTTCCCAGGTCAGCGTGCAGACCTTGCCCTGCAGGCTCGCACCTGCCCTGCAGGGGTCTTGCTTCCAGCTCTTCCTTTGAAAGTGGGCGCTAGGGACCCCATCCTGCTGCTCAAATATCAGACACCTGAGAGTCCTGCAGGCTGTTCAGGGTACTATTATGCACATGGGGTGCAAGCTGGGAGCTGGAAAATTAACTTAGCGCTCCCCATCCTTGGGTTCCGTTTCTGTTGAGACCTGGTCTTACTCATTAGCTCACAGCTTTGTTCCTAGGACTGTGCCAAAGCTATGGAGGGCTACTGTTGAGTTTGGACTATAGAGTGTAGATTACCCCCCAAGTGGAGGGATGGTGGGGGGGGCATCTGAGCTTCTCAGACACCCTGCTGGTGCTTTTAAAGAGATGAAAGAGAGGGCTCTGTAAGGCTGCTCTGATCATCCTAAGACCCCTGTGTCTCTATGTCAAGCCAGCGCATGCCTCATGAACAGGGCAAGCCCTTCCCAGATGTGCCTGGGAAGGACTGCAGAAGGCAGGTGCTCTTTTCTTTGGCTTGCATAGTCCCATGGCTGGGGCCAGAGGGTAAGGCTAGGCACACTCTAGGGGAGTATTGAGTTAAAATGTCTGCACAGCCCACAAAACCACACGCAGAGGCTCTGCCTATGGCTCTCCCAGGCTTCTCTTTAAAGGAACATTGATGTGCTCCATGGCTACTGAGAAGGATGCTACCTGAAGTCTGAGAATACTGCATCCCAAAGTATGGAGGTGGGGACTCTGTGTGTGTGTGTGTGTGTGTGTGTGTGTGTGTGTGTGTGTGTTAATTTTAGTAGAAACTTGAAGTCAACATCAAGTATCTCCTGCAATTACTTCCCACCTTATCGTTTGAGACAATGTCTCTCATTGACCCTGTAGCTCATCAATTTGGCGAAGCTGGCTTCTCAGTGAACCCCAGAGCTTTTCCTGTGCCCGCCTCCCCAGTGCTGAGATTACATGCCTGGCTCTTCATGTGGGTACCGTGGACTGAACTCCAGCCACTGCCCTTACCCAGCAAGCACTTTACCTAGTGAGCAGCAATCTCCCCAGCCCTATGATTCTGTTTCCACAGCTTGGGCTAACTGGAATGTCCTGCCAAATGTGTCTATTATCGAGGAGATCCCAGGTGATGTGCTCTCGACATACTCATGACCATGTGTCCTTTGTTCGTTCAGAAAGACATTCATAATCACTTGTGTGGGGTTGGACTGGGGTGAACAACCCTGGGGGAATCCGTGAAAATGATGTTGGTGGGTCTACAGAACTCATTAATTCTGGGTTCCTAAGACGAAGTGACCCTAGGTTTAGCGAGGACCCTGAACCCAAAGACAAGCATCCTTATAAGAGAAGGGATGAGGTGGTTCTACCTATGGTGGTGGGAGATAAGGTCACATGGAAATGGAGCCAGCTACTGGGAAAGTGAGGCCACAGGCTAAAGAAACTAGAATCATGGGACTGGAAGAACAGGAAGAAGCCTCTCTCTGAACCTTTGGGGGGGGGCATGAGGCTCCGGGGTTGCCTGGGAGAACCGTGAGGAGACCGGAAGCACCAAGCTTGTGCTAGCATTACACATGGAAGCAGTACAAGCTTCCTGTATCCAATGGGCACAATCAAGGATGATACACCCTTAGCTGGACCACCCCATATGGCAGCTCCTACACTCTTCTCCACATTCCTCCATGTGCCCAATACCCAGCCAGGAAGCCTCACCCACTTTCCAGGAAAATTCCCTGGTCTCCAAAGGGAACCCCCTACTAAGACTCATGAGAGTGGCTTCATATCCATCCTGTCAGCGAGAGTTCACTCTGCACACTGGCACACATGTATGCGTATTGACAACCAATTATCTTCAGCTCCTTTGGATGCTGCAAAGCAAGGCTACATCCAGAAGTCACTGTGGTATCATACTGAGCATTTGGGCCTATAGACTAGAGCTTATGTATCTTAGCTTTACAGTCAAAAGCCTCCATGGGGACGTGACCAGGCCGCTGATGCCATTCCCACTGTGGTCAAAGATGGCTGAGGAGCCAGTTGGCTTATCTATCCTGTTGCTAAGAGCAGGGCTTCTCTTTGCCTCTCCCATCTGCACAGCGCAGAGCCCAGGGCTATCACTAGGCTGGTGTAAGCTCCCAACACAGCTGGATTCATCATTCCAAAGTTGTGGGGAGACAGCTGGAGCCTGACAGTAGGGGCCATGGCTCCTACATGGGGGGGTCACATAAATGTGGGACTCCTCTGACTACAGCTCCTCAGCTTCCACAGCTCTAAGATCTGGGTTCCCAACAATAGGATGCAAGTTAAAGAATCTCTCAAAGAATGGGAAGAGAAATGCCCTGAGAGTCTAGAAAGCACAGATGCCATCAATACTGTCATACAAAGGCCCACCGAGAAAGCACAGTCACACAGTATCCCGTGGTCCTCATCTGGAAGACTTTTTTCTCTTGCTCTGTACACAGACAAACCCGCATGTAGCTCTGAGATTTCCTCCACAGAAGGTATCGCCCAGCACAGTAGCCAATTTCACTGAGTAAGGAACAAAGGGATGTAGACAATGACGATGATGATGGAGGTGAGCTCCATGGGCAACGGAGAAAGAACCAGTTGAATTCCTTCATCCTTCCGCAGCCCAGCCATCCCCTTCCCCTTGGGATTGTTTAACAAAAACAACATTTTGCTATTTGCAGCTGGTAATCCAGTAGGAGCAGTGAGTAGCTACACTGGACTGATTCTGAGCCACAAAACAACAGGCCTCATCTTCCTCTCTACATGGAGAGAAGACTTGGGGGGCAGGGCAAAGGGGGGGTGGAGCAAGAGCCATTCTCCTGTAGGGGGTGCTGCGGCTACACAGAGACGGAGGAGTAAATGCCCCACATCATGGGTCCTAAGGTCAAAGCCCAGCGTCAGCCCTTGAACCGACCAGTCAACAAGCAGACACAAAGACGTGGTCATTGAGACGCTGCTAGCCAGACGGGCCCCACAGCCTCTCACAGGTGACTTCGTTCTTTCCAGTCAAGCCTCTGCAAGCAAGACTAAGGCTGGAATCATTACTGTTGGGTGGAAGGGAGGAGACACGGTGGCCGGGGAAGTTCTCTGACTTGTCCTAGCTGCTCAGGCATGGGAGCTTGAAACATCTCTTCCAGGAAGCAGCCTCTGTGAGCTCCTCTCACAGAACCATCATACCTGCCCAGGGGCTCTGGCACCAACCACAGCCCCTACTGCCCCCTCCCCCAGAGCCTTACAGTGATGGAATTATTGTGCAAAGAACTGAGATCTCTTCCTGTCTACGGAGAGGGGAGGTGGAAGTACCAGGACTATTAGTGAACACATTCCCAGACCCCAAGGGAACCCATCCCTTACACGGCCCTGTTGTCTCCAGGCCCAAGGATGTTTTTCCACTTCCCAGACTGTCATCTTGAAGTCTTACCCTATGCCGTTTCCACAGACCGGGGCTGATTGTCTCTCGGATAAAAACCTCCTCATGTCCCTTCATACATGTGACCCCTCTGGATCTGGCCTGACACCTGCCCATTTACTACTGTCCTGACATAAATGCCAGGGCCTGGTGCCTTTGCTCTCCTTGCCTGCATTCGCTGCCAGGGAAAGTGTTACCTGTCACTTCGGATGAAGATTTCCTGAGGGTCCCTCGTGACTCCATGCCCTCAATCCGGTGTGGGAGACAGCTTCTTCTTGGCAACCAAGGTGGCTTGCACAGTCGTTTGGCTCTCTGCCAGAAGCTTCCTTCATGTCTGTGGGGCAGAGCACATGTATCAGGTTAAAAAAAAAAAAAGCATGTGCCAGGGAAGCCAGGGAGACCCTGAGGATGGCTGGGAAAGTTGGGGCTGGATTTGAAGTAGCTGATCAGTTCTGAGCAACTCCTCACCCACTCCCCACTCATCTTCTCTCCTCACCCCCCTCTCCCAACTCACCTTCTAACCCCAGGATGTGAGCATAACCCGCAAGGCTGCGTAGGGACTAAGTGAGATGGGGTTGATATTTTGTTTTGAAACAAGCTCCCATGGAGTCCAGCCTAGTGTTGACCCTTCCTACGTAACTTGGGATGCACTTCTAATCCTCCCGCCTCAGCCTTCTGAATGCTGGGATGACAGGTGAGCACCACCATGCCTAGTTTATGCGACGTCAAGACTGGAACCCAGGACTCATGCATTGTGAGGACGGCACTGTACCCAGGGAGGCACATTCCCCAGCCTGAGACCGTGATTAGGTGTTACTCACATTGCTTAGGAAGAGTTTAGGAAAGTGATGCTGCAGGTGGATATTGATGTTAGATTTGGGTCCTTCACTACCTGCTAAACAGATCGCTGGACAGAACTTTTCGCAAAGATGAAAATGTTTTATAATTGTCATGGATCCGCATGACGCCTGCTGCCTTCCTGGGGTTACTGAGTGTGTAAACTACCATCATGTTAAGAGCCACCACAGGCAGTGTTGGTAGCCTGAATCTTGGGGTGTGCACAGATTTCCCATCATCTGATCTAGCGGTCCCTAAAACAAAATGTCACTCACAGCCCAGAGGCAAGACAGCGCAAGGATGGAGAAAGAGAAAAACCTGGGAGTTTGGTTGTCATGGGGATTTTGTACTCTTGACCTTTGTCATGCAAGCAATGGATCTAGCAAGTACTCTGCTAGTGAACTTGTACCTTTTTCCCTTAGGATGCAGGCTCATGATGTTCTGCTGACAAGCACGTACAGCCCTAAGTGGCCCAGCCATCTGGTCTACCACCCATGCTTTGCAGGTAAGTAAACTGAGATGAAGGCTCACCGCCACGCGCCTTCAACTGGTCTGAAAGCCCTTAGTGCTGTTTGCAGGAGCCTCCTCCCTGTATGGGTTTCAGTTTCCAAGCACTTGACTCCCATGGAGCTTCACAGACCTTCCGGAGAGGAGGCAACATGCTTAGCCACTCTCCTGCCTGGTTCCTTTGAGCTTCTGCCAAGACCAGACCTACTCAGAGGGGCTGGCTGCAGAATTTTAGATAAGGGCTGAAGAATGCAGCGTCCCCTCAGATGCTGCCCCAACAGTAAGAAAGTGGCTTTTGGTTCATCTTTCCAGGTGTCTACATTTGAAAAAAAAAAACTTGCCTTCCCTGACTGGATCAGGAGTTCTCACCTCTAGGGGATGGGGTGAGGGGGGTATGTGGAACAGGAACTGTCACCCCCAGGGATGGGGTGGGGGAACCTGGCTCCTCCCCTGAAGCCTCTTTCCCATTTATCAAGACCACAAATTCCCTAAAGAGCCATCAGGCGAGGGAGGACAGGCTGCTATTTCACTCATCATAACCCCCACCCCAGCCCACTGGAGCTCCTGCAGAGTGATTTCAAAGCACACAGAAAAAGGAAGGAAGGAAAGGGGGACTTGCGGGGAACACGCTGCCAGTAAGTGTGCAGGGTCACCTTTGCCCCAAGACCATGGATGGCTGACTGCTGCTGGCTTGCAGGCATCACAATAAATAGCACACGACCTGAACCTTGGGGACCTGTTCAATCAAAGTTGCTATGGGGTCTGTCAGGAGAGATCCTGGTCCCCGAGTCAGTCTTACCGAAGTGGGGTCTGGATCCTGTCATTCCTCAGGAGAGCCCACAAGGACTCTAGTGCTGTTGTGGGCTGGGGCTGTTCCTGTCTCTCTTCGTTCCTCTCAGAGGAGCCTGTGTAGACCCTCCCGCAAGCAGCTGTACTCAGAAGCTAGTCTGGTTGGGCAGTTCTTCATCTCCTGTCACGTAGGGACTCCCAAGGCATGCCAGGGGCTACACACCTCTGCCCCTGCTATTGGTGTGGGGACACGCAAAGCCTCTGTGTCAGCAGGGACTCCACTGCTTACACACATGCCTGGGAAACTTCCCCCCTCACCTCCACACCCTTTGGGGGGCTGGGTGGTGTGGGTTGAGGTGACTGGGTCACACTCACCTCCAAGTGGGACAGTCTGTATGGTACAATTCCCACTCTCGAGGTCCTCGGGGCCCAGGCTGAGGCCAGACTCATCACAACATACCTCCATTCCCCCATTGCCCTGCCCTCATCTGCCTCTTCACAGCCTTCCTGTCCTCCTAGGAGGCTACCCTCCTCAGCCACTTACCTTCACATCCTCACCGCAAGCCCCTCGTTCTAAAGTGTCCCACTCAGGGGCTGGGTGTGAGTGCCCTCCGTCTCGAAATGCTAACTTTGGTTTGAAGGACTTCAGAGTACTCATGTGACCGATACTAAGTATGTGTGAACTCAGTACGTGATGTTGGGCCTGTCCCTTCTCGTTTTCTGTTTCCTCAAGGCCAAGTTTAAGATCAACTCAGTTTTCCAAGTCCACGTCTAATTTACGACGCTGAGCTGATCCATTTCCCCACTTACGCTTTTCGAAAGAAGCCCCTCAGGACTCAGATTTTGAACTGGACTCTTAGGCTCCGCACAAGTTTCTTCTCTACCCTTTGGGTTCTCTTGGTGTGTTCCATGATACCTTTGTTCCTTAGTCTTATGCAAACCAGTCATGGTGAGCATTCCTCGCCCACGTCAGTCCAGCAGCAATTCCTGAAGACTGCTAGGGTAAGGTCTTGATCTCAGGGGCTTTGGTTTGGCCTGGAGGCCCTGGGCTCACTCAGGAAAGGAGAGGGCTGAGGTTGACACTGGTTGAAATGGATCAACCCCTGGTTGCTCTAATCATCGCTGCGTGCTTAGACAGCTGAGGAGGACTGGCAGGTGGGTTGTACAGGCTAGCCTCACCTGTGCTCACCCAGGCAAAGACCCTGCTCCATCCTGCCAAGCGTGCCTCCCAGATCCTCTCACAGTCCCAAGGACATATCGAAGCAAAGAGTAAAAGCTGAGAGTTGTCTGTGACCACAATCAAAGATCTGGTCCTGTGGGTGACCCGTCACAGGGTCTCAGACACATGTGCGGCAGAGGCCATGTGAGCTCAGGACGACCATCTACCTGCCTATATGTCTACACCTCACAGACTCTTCTATCTGAATACATTGCATCGTGACCAAAGAACAGCCCTAACTAGGAACAGGAAGACTTTGATGATGAACAGAACCCTGTCTTCAGTGCCTGGGGTGAACCCCACTCCTTCAGTGGTGAGTGTGCCTCTTAGGACTACCCTTCTTCCACACAGCCTCCCTCATCTCCCCTCACTTGGGGCTATCCAGGTTGCGTTTGCCGGAAGCTGCCTCAGCCAAGGCTTTGAGCGCCTCACGCTTGTACACAGCCACGAATTAATCAATAAAACCTAATTCCACGGTCCAGTGCCTGCTGTGGGCCTGGCACAGATGGATTCTGAGAACTTTGCGACTCTCTGGGCCTCGAGTTAATATAGGAGCAATTAGGCATGCAAGCATGAAGTGTTTTCGTGTCTGCATTAAGTTGGACCCCGTGTTTTTTACTCCCTATCCTTTAACATGTGTAGTTTCATTAATGAAACAGCCATTTTCATTACAGTGTCAGGGAAGAGAGAGAGAGAGACAAAGAGAGAAACAAAGAGAGAGACAGAGAGAGAGAGAGAGAGATTATACATAATGGAAACTCTGATATAAACTTCAAGTACTGAACAGGAAACTAAAAATAGCAAACAGATAAGGGACCCTTGATTTATATACATGTCTGAGGTTTTTATGTAAATTCTACATAATGTTCTAGATTTTTCCAATAAAATAAAAATCTCTATATGTGAAATATGCATGAGAAATATATAAGCATATACACGCTTTTAATAATATAGTCATACCTAAAACAAATGAAAATCACATTTGATTCATGCTCCCTGGTTGTGTAAGTCACAAGACTCAAACCAAATCCTCCCATACATATGAATTCATATATTTATGTATATTAGAAAAAGTATCATGCCAGTGGGAGATTGAAAGTTGGGGAAGATTCTTTGACAAGACCGATAATGGGTTGTTGCAGAAGGAAAGGAAGCCTTGTGGATATGTCAAAATGTGCAGCTTCTCACACACACCAGTTCTCAGGAGCTCACACAGGAAGATCAAAAGTCTGAGACTGGCCTGGCCAAATCATCAAAATCACAGTTTAAAAATAGTAAGAATAAAAACAATTTTTTTTTGGTTTTTTGAGACAGGATTTTTCTGTGTAACACCATGGCTGTCCTGGAACTCTCTTTGTAGATGAGGCTGGCCTAAAGCTCATAGAGATTCACACGCCTTTCTCTGCCTTCTGGGTGCTGGGATTAAAGGTGTATACCACTATACCATCAAAATGTTAAGGCCCAGCAAATTAAATGAGAACCCAGACCTACCAGTTTAATCCATCACAGCCCTTCTTATGCTGAAAATACTATTAAGTTGTACTTTCTTTTTTAATGATTTATTGTTTATTTAATGTACATTAGTGTTTTACCTGTGAGTATGTCTGTATAAGGGTGTCGGATCCCCTGGAACTGGGGTCACAGACAGTTGTGAGCTGTTATGTGGGTGCTGGGAATTGAACCTGGGTATTCATAGTCTGAGGGGAAGGTACAAAACACTTAAAATCCACAAGAAAGAAAACCTGGACGGATAAGCTTGCTTTCATCTTGATGATTTTGCCAGACCAGTTGAATTCTGGATGTATTCCCTTGCTCAGGTGGAACAGGACTTCCGTGGAAGTTAGCAGAGGCAAATCAAGCATTCTCCCTTTCACCCGGAGAATGGTGCTTTCAACTCAAGTCTCAAACCCAAGAAATTCAGATGCTGTAAGCCAGAGCCAATATGTACAACAGAAGCAAATGTGGAGACTTCAAACAATGGG